ATTAATTAAAGAACTTATATGAAAATATTCATAACTCATGGACACAGACAATAGTGTGGTGAAGGCCTTTGGAAGGGGCACGAGCAAGGTGGAGAAGGTCAATGGAGGGAAAAAAGGAAACATCTGCAATACTTTCAACAATAAAGATTTTTTAAAAAGAAAGAAGAAGAAAAGTCATAAGGGCTATGCCTAGACAAATTATGGCATTTTCTTACTAATTTAGGAGTATGGTTCATTAAATCATTCCTATTCTGTGTACCAGAGAGAGGGCGAAGAGGAAATGGAGGAGGGGGAGGGAAGGGAAGGACTGGGAAGGGAGAGAAGGAAAAAAAATGAATAGAGGAAGTTAGAATACTGTTGTGCTTTGGTTGGCTTTGTCTATTGAATTGCAAAGTAATTCAAAAGTTAGGCAGTAAGAATAATATCAGCTAATATTTAAGACGAAAGGGGAGATATGGCAAATGAGGGAAGAAGCAGGGTAATATACAAATATTATGTTATATACAATATAATATTATACAATACAATACAATATTATGTAATATACAAATATACAAATGTTACACAAATATAACAACAAAGAAAATGTGGTGATATAAAGGTCAAAGAAAGAACAGAATATGAAGTTGCATGTATCTTATAATCATTACTATTTTAAAGATAGTAGTATGCAAATAAGAATTGGAAGATATTATAATGAATAGCATTGTAAAATAAACTAATGTTGATGTTTTTGTTTTTTTCTTTTAAAAAGTTTTCTCTGCATACATTGAAATGATCCTCTTATCTTCCATTCTGTTAATATGGTGAATTACATTGATTTTCAAATGTTAAGCCAACCTTTCATTCCTGAGATAATCTCTACTTCCATGATCAGTTATTTTGTTTTAAATATATATTATTGAAATTCGCATTCTAATATTTTTATTACGGATTTTTACATCTAATTTTATGATGGATATTGATCTGTAATCTTATTTTCTAGTGTCTTTGTTACACTTTGTTATTGGAACTGTACTGATATAAAATGAATTAAGTAGTGATTCTTCTTCCCATTTGCCAAAAATGTTTCTGTAAGATTAGTGTTATTTCATGCTTGAATGGTTCATCTTCCATCTAGACCTGGAGTTTTCTTTTGGGGAAGGTTTTTAAAAATAAACTTGATGTATTTAATATATACAGGCCTATTCAGATTTTTTTGTCTCCTCTTATTTCAATTTTGATTCATTGTATTTCTCAAAAAATGTTTCCATTTCATCTAAATTGTCAAATATGTTGACATAAAGTAATACACAATACTTCCTTATCCTTTCAAATGCCCATAGGATCTGTGGTAATATTGACTGTTTTTGTTCTATTTTTGTTTCTTGACCAGTTTAACTAGTTTTTAATTTTTGTTGTTTGGTTTTCTTTATTGTGTCTTTTTTTTTCCTATTTTGTTCATTTCTGTTCTTTATCATTTTTTTCCTTATACTTGTTTTGGTTTTACCTTGTTCTTCTCTTTCTAACTTTTCAAAAGATGCACCTTCAGTTGTTGATTTTATATCTTCTTTTCTAATATAAGTATTAACAGCTCTTAGTTTCCCGTTAAGCACTTACATTATCTTTATCCCATAATTTTGATAGGTTGTATTTTTCTTGTCTTTTACTTCACAATATTTCCTCACTTCCTTTGTTATTCCATTTTTGAACCATCAATTATTTTGAAGTGTGTTATTTAATTTTTAGATATTAGTGGTTTTCTTAGGTATCTTATTGGTTTTAAATTTAGTTACTGTTTTGTGGTTAGAGAATATACTCTTTGTGATTTGGGTTCTTTTAAATTTACGAAGACTTTTAATGATACAAAATACGATCCATCTTTTGACAAATGCACCATGTGTACTTGAAAAGAATACGTGTTCTAAAGCTTTTGGATGTGGTGTTATATGGATATTAATTAGCCCCAAGTGGTTGGTAGAGTCTTTCAGATCACCTGTATCTTACTGACATTTTGTCTAGTTCTATTAGTTGTTGAGAGAGAGGCATTAAAATATCCTATTCTGAACTGGAAATTGTCCATTTCTCCATTTAGATCAGCCAAATTTTGCTTCATGTATTTTGAAGCTTTATTATTTGTATACAAATTTATTATTGTTATAAATTTCCTTTTTGTCATTTGAAATGTTTCTCTTTATCTCTGATAATACTCTTTGTCTTAAAGTCTCTTTTATCTGATAACAAAGTAGCCACTTTAGCCTTTTTAAGCTTACTATTTACATGGTACATCAGGTCCTTGAATAATGTTATTTTGTTCCACATCGTTTAGTTATAATGTTGATGAGATACCTTAGGAATTTAACTCTTGTTTATATCAATTAGCCAGTGTTAAAATTGGTTTCATTATATGACATTTTGCTTAAAGTCAAACAACCCGTCAACGACATTAAGTCTTCCAACTGTTTACTTTCAGCGTATCTGTGTCTTTATATTTAATGTGTCTTTCTGGTAGACTTGTACACAGCATGTGCTAGGGTCTTGCTTTTTTACCCATTCTGTCAATCCCTGCCTTTTAACTGGAGTATATGTAGACTATTCACATTTATTGAATAATGGAAATGACTGGATTTAAGCTACCATTTTATTTGTTTTCTATTTATCCTCTGTCTTTTGTTTTCTTTTTCTCCCTTTCTACCTTTTATTAAATTATTATTTGAATGTTTTTTAGTAGTCCATTTAAATTTACCTATTGGCTCAATGCTTTATATCTCTTTGCATTACTTTATTACTGGTTGCTCTAGTGATTACAATACACATATACCTACCTATTCACAATCTACTTAGAAATAACTTTTAGCCATTTCACATAAAATACAGAAACCGCGCAATCATATAATTCCCTTTATCCTCTCTTCTATCTTTTTGTGGTAGTCATCAAATGTATTGTATTTACAAACATTGAAAACTCCACCAGACTATAACTTTTACTTTAAACCAGTCATATATATCTTAAAGAACTTAAGAGGACAAAAGTAACCTTCTATATTTATTCAACTATTTATTGTTTTTATTGCTCTTTCTTCATCCCTGACGATTTAAATTTTCTTTTTAACATTTCCTTTCAGCCTAAAAAAACTTCTGAGTATTTCTTTTAGAGCAGATCTGCTGATTAATTCTATTAGTTTCTCTTCATATGATGAAGTATTTTGCCTTTATTTCTGAAGAACATTTTGGTTGATTGGTCTTTTCTTTCAGTACTTTAAAGATATTATTTTAATGATTTTTGTTTTTATGATTTATAAGAAATCTGTAGTTATTGAAGTTATTATTCCCTTGTGTGTATTGTATTGGTTCTTTTCTAGATGCTTTCAAGGTTTTTTTTCTTTATGTTTGGCTTTTAGTAGGTTGGTTATGATATGTCTAGGCATGATTTTCTTTGAATTTATCCTGATCAGGATTTGTTGAGCTTCTGAAATTTATAAAAATTATGTCTTTAACCAAATTTTAGCAGTTTTTGGCCAGTTTCTTCAAGTACATTTTTTTGCCTCAATCTTTTTTTCCTCTCCTTTGGCTCCCCAGTTACACATAGGTTAGACATCTCAGTATTTTCACATTGGTCCCTGGAGCTCCGTTTATATTTTCTCAATTTTTCTCTCTCTTTGTTGCTCAGATTTTATAATTTCTATTGATCTGTTTTCAAGTTCACTGGTCCTTTTCTCTGTCATTTTTATTCTGCTACTGAGCCCATCTGGTGATGTTTTTGTAAGATATTGTATATTTCGGTTCTAAATTTTTCATTTTGTTCTTTATGGTTTTTATTTCTCTGTGAAAAATTCGTATTTTCATTTATTTCAGTTGTGTTTTCCTTTGCCTAATGAGGCACAATTATAATTATTGCTTTGAAATTTTTGTCTGATAGTTCGTACTTCTGGGTCTTTCAGGGTTGCCTTTTATTACCTTTCCTCTTGAGAATTGGTCATATTTTCTTTTTTTTTTATGTTGAATAATATTAAATTGCATTCTGCTTGCTCTATTTACTTTTGGAGTATTCAGATAGTTGTTTTGGGTCCACAGTTTTTAGTTGTAATCAGCAGGAAGGTTTTTAGTAGCCTGTGTTTCACTTGCCATTTCAGCACTGCAACTCCTTAGGTTTTTTTTATTTTGTTTTTAAAGTTAATCCTGTATTTTTCTACTCCATTATAATTCAGTAGGAAATAATTAAGCAAAATTATTGAAAGTTTGGAAGTTCAGTAATATTCTAAGAAGATATTTATAATTTTGTGAAGGAGAAATGAATAGCACATAGAAGTCTATGACTTCATTCAGTTAGTAAAATAAAACATGGATGGTGTATACTATGTCCTGGGTATGGAAGATAGTAAAATAATTTCAGAGTTTATCTTACAATCTAGTGGGCATTAGGCTTGCTTTAGTGAGTGAAGACCAGTAAATAACAATAATAAGTATATTATTTGCAAGAGTTATTTCTCAAGAGTTAAAATACCATTTTTATTTAATCAACATATAAGTATACCTTCAAAATAATGAATTATAGTCCAGGCATAATACAATTTAATTTTGAATCTACTTTCAAATCAATGTAATTTTAATGTTAGTGGTAAGTCTAAATTAATGACATTTTACTATAGTTTATTAACTAATTTGCTTTTTTGTAAGTTTTTAAGTCTTAATTAAGAAAAGTACTTTAGCCCGGCCGGGCGTGGCTCAGTTGATTATCGACCTAGAATCCAGGAGATTGTGGTTGGGTACTCGGTCTGGGCACATGCTCGGATTGCAGGATGGATCCCCCGTCAGGGCGTGTAGGAGGCAGCTGGTCGGTGACGTGTCTCTCTTATGAGCATTGATGGTTTTGCGCTCTCTCTCTCCTTCCTCTCAAATCAATAAAGATATATTTAAAGAAAGAAAGAAAAGTACTTTAAATACAGGATGATTCATTTTTTAGTATTTTCCTTAAGGTGGCTGATGTACACTTTTCTAAACTCTTTTTAATTAAATCACAGACACTACCAGAGCAAGAAGAAGCCAGGAGAGTGATGGTGTTGAATATATTTTCATTTCCAAGCATTTGTTTGAGACAGATGTGCAAAATAACAAGTAAGTGGAATTTTTTTTAGAATTTTGTGTGACTTGTTTTGAAGTATGCGCCCTTATATCCAGTTTTAGACAACTGAGGATTCCCTTCCATTTGAAATGTATTTTAATTTTTATAATATTTGAAACCAATAAAAGTGATAATTTAGTTAGTACTTATTTCCACTCTTCATTTGTAATTTTTTAATAAGCTAGAGCTGCTGTATAGGAATTATTTTGAAGGATGAGGGAAGCTTGCTTGTGTCTTATTGTGACCCTTTCCACCCCACTGTTTGAATTTTAACATATAATTTGGATAGAGTTTTATTTTAAAAACTAACTATGTAATAGATCCCTAGTTCCACAGTTTCCTACATACACCTCTCTCTCTCTCTCTGTCTCTCTCTCTCTCTCTCTCTCATTGGCTTTTCAAAAAATTGAAATAATGTTGACGATCTTGCTTGTAGCATATCCTCTAGCTAGCCCTACACCCCCTCTCCCCAGGTCTTCTATTTGCTTAAGCATGAATTTTTTTAGGGTATCAGGGAGAGCAATGTGTGTTTTAATACAGGATTGTGGAATTTTATTGAAACATCAAAATGCTTTTTTCGTGTTTGGCACAGCGATTATGTTTTTATAGCACATAATCGGCTGCCCTGGTTCCATTAGCCACCAGCCAGTCCCTCCTCTAGTTCTGAAGCTGGTTGTTCTGTGTGCTCAGTGAAATTTCAGTAGTTTCTATTGTTTGGCTTTTTCACTGTTTTACTGCATTGCATTAGTTCTGAAAAAGAGGTGATGGAAAACGTTAGTGTACTGCTGGACTAAAGTACTTTTTTCTGCTTAAGTGTAATACAAGCAAGTGTTACTGATTTGAAAATGTAAAATAAAAAATTTTTTTAAATGACGTTTTGGAGTACTTGGCTCTATTTATTTTATTAAACATAGTAAAAAAAATTTCATGTTCAGCAAAAATCTCTTTTACATATATGAATTATGTCTTGCTACCTATACATATTGCATTCATAAACGATTCTGATGCAGCTCTAATTTTCCACAGGTTTATTGAATATGGTGAATATAAGAACAACTACTATGGCACAAGTATAGATTCAATTCGGTCTGTCCTAGCTAAAAACAAAGTTTGCTTGTTGGATGTTCAACCTCATGTAAGTAAACAGTGAACTATTCAGGACCCTTCTGGTCTGTGTAATCTGGGCTTCATTTACCCTAAGTCTCACTATAGAGTAAATCTGAAGTCTACTTACTTGGGGAATATATGTGCTTTGCTAAAATGACAAAAGCATTTCAATATAATTTGAGAAGTTTTTGGTGAGGAAAAAGCCCATATGATTATTAGAAAAGAGGAGTAGGTGAAGCTTTGACATTCTATGTTTGTAAGTCTTGTTCATATTCAGTTTTTGCCAAGTATAATGTCTCTTAGATTTTCTTCTATATATTTTGTATTTTTTTAAAAATGTTGCAATAAATGTATTCTTATATGTTATCACAAATGTTTATAATTTTTAACAATGGACATTTTGGTTCTTGGTTCTGTATATATCCTAGATTTTGGTTTTGTGTGTATAGCTAGAGCTGTGGGGCACTTTGTAGGAATTTTATGACATGAGATCCTTATTGCAGCTGTCAGGCAGATCTCTGCCTGGCACCCTGGGAAATCTCATGAACACAGTGAACAGAGTGCCAGTGGATGAAGCCTTTCAGTTCCTTGTCACACCATATAGCCTCCAGCAGAAACCTAACCCACAGCCTCTTCCTCATCACCCAGGGGCCAGATTCTCACACCAGGGATGGCAGCACCCCAGGGTACAAACCTCCAAGTGCCCGAATGACCTAGAGAAGCCCTTTGTACCTCAGTCAAGGGTTAGAAGGGTGGCTGACTCAACCACCAGTGGTGAATGAAACACACTCTTGCTTGAGCAGAACTTCTCTGCTGGTGTCCTAGGACTAGTTCTCAACTCCCTTGGTGTGGTTTAAACTGTACATTCTCAGTGCATCACCAGCCCATCTGCCCATCTGTCCCCTGTCCCCCACCACCACTATAAACGTGCACACACACATAACCTGTCTGCCTAACCTTTCAGGGGAGTTTATGATTTATATTCATATTCTGGAGAGGTCTCAACTCTCATTCTTCTGTCAACAACCCTTGATTACAGATGAGTCCCCAGAAGCATAGTGTAAATAACAAAATATTTGCTGGGCGAGTGTTGGCAAGCTTCCTGGAAAGCAGGCGACTTGCCCTTTTAGGGCACTCTGAAGAGTGGAAGGAAAGAACTCATGCCTGGAATCAGAAGAGACTTAAATGGGATGGTTGGAAGACTTTAGTGTACAGAAGGTTATTCAACTCATAGCATCTTTTGAGTATTTGATTTAAAAATCAGCCTCATGGTATTTCTAGCTGCTTCAGTTCAATATTAATTATGGCATATTTCAAAACATTTTTGAAGGCAAGTTACATTTTTCATCATTTCAGGAGGATTTATTACATTTAATTGTCAACAACTGATTGAATAATATATTGAAAGACCTTGACTAGAAAATAATTTTAAGAAATTTTCTCCTTAGAAAGAAAATTTTATTTTATTGTACTAGTTGCTCATGACATTATGGAGAAATAGAAAAAACAACAACTTATTTTCTGCCTTGCAGACAGTGAAGCACTTAAGGACATTAGAATTTAAGCCCTATGTGATATTTATAAAGCCTCCATCGATTGAACGTTTGAGGGAGACAAGAAAAAATGCAAAGATTATTTCAAGCAGAGATGACCAGGGTGCCGCGAAGCCCTTTACAGTAAGTATGATGATGCTTTAGTGAAAATTCATTAGCAGTAGTGAAATTCACATATGCAGTAGCAGCTACTTTAGGAAGAAGTTGAAGTTGTGATCCAAAAATCTACAATATAGAATTGTATTTAGGTACATACATTTGAGTGATTGTACTATAATTGCTTTTTGTGCTTCCATGGATGGATCTTCATATTAAATTGACTCAAAACTATTTGGCATACTTACAAAATTTTTGTAGGCCATTTATATCAAAGTTAGACCACTTAGTTTTCAGACTACCCTTATTTGTAAGGGTTTAAAATACCAAAGTCAGTTACTATCAATCATTAATAATCTAGAAAATTTTAATAACTTGCCTTTTTTTGTCTTCTTGCATCAATATTTAGCATAATAAAGGAAAAGCATCATTTTGGGTATACAACAAGTAGACTCATATAATTATTCAATAATATTTGTATTTCCTATGAGTGTTATTACAAATGGCAATTGTGGTAGGTTAATGACTACAATGATTTCTGGCAAGCCTTTCATTGTTTTTTGTTTCTAACCTTAAGATAATATATTCTACCTTAGGATAAAAAATAAAGAGCAAAGAAATTAAATGTCAAGAGATTTTTTTCCCCCCTCTCTCTTAATTTCCCCCTCCCTCATCTTTCACCTTAGCTCTATTAATTTGTACGCTATTAATTATGGCTACAAAATACAGATTATACTTTTGATTCTCAATATTTGATAAGTATCTTTTTTATAAAATACTGGCAATACATATCCACACTGAATAGGTATCATCATATGATGATACCTACTCATTCCTCTTAGCACTAAAGTTAAATTTTCTGTTGTGAAACCTTCTGTGACATTGAAATGTGGATTTGAAATTACTTTAGTATGTTGCAATATAAAGAGTTATTGTATTATTTTTAAACTTCAAGGTTTCTCAATGGAGATAACAAATGATAGATAGCATAGTGCTAGGATTTAGCTCATATTTTTATATATGGTTATATATAGTCTTGAGTTATATAATCAATTAAAATATTTCCTGGCTCAAAAATGTGACTATGATGAGCCTCTCACTCACTTCCAATGAAGCATAGGAAGGACTTGGTAACTATCCTTTTATAAATATATCCAACTCTGAAAAAGTAGTTTATGCTATAAATTCCTTGCTATGAATAAGCATAAATAATGCAGCATCAGAGTAAATGGTTCTTCCCACACACCCCTCCCCCATAGCTATTTTGGCACTGAGATATCCCTATAATGATAAGTTAGTGACTAATTATCCTGAACTTCAGGTAAGACAGAAGTTTTGACTCTTGTCAGATCAGTTTAGTTACAGGCAAATCAGAGAAGTAATATTAGGAATTATGACTTCTGAAGAACTCATAATTAAAGAGGGTAATTCATTTTGATTCCTGGCTGAGGTGAGAGAATGGACACAGAACAGCATTGGATCAGCCAGTGGTGGGATGTTTGCATTGATGTGAAGTGATGTAATTGCCTGGTTAACCACTTAAAAAAAATACTTCCTTTTGTAGGAAGAAGACTTTCAAGAAATGATTAAATCAGCACAGATAATGGAAAGTCAATATGGTCATCTCTTTGACAAAATTATAGTTAATGATGATCTCACCATGGCATTCAAAGAGCTAAAAACAACTTTTGACAAATTGGAGACAGAGACTCATTGGGTCCCAGTGAGCTGGTTACATTCATAACTATGGGAAATGTCCATAATTTTCTTTTTTGTAGAGTACATGATTAAATCAGTTACCATTTTGGTGGCAGGGTGTTTTTTTTAAGTCTATATCACTGTCATAGATGTGCAATCTTGGTTAAAATCTAATGTTTTTGTTTGTACCTTTTCACAGCCTTATTTCAAACACAGTGTTTGAGTGTAAGATCCAAAATTGAAATTTCCACAGTACTGTATTCTGAGGAAAGCTTTGAACTTTCCATATGTCTTTAATACATATCTCTATCTCCAAGATGAGGTTGAACTTTTTAGAGAGACAACTAGAGAATAAATATTAGAGTTCGGTGCTTCAGCTGGTCTCAGACAGAGTCTCTGCCATCAGGTCTGCATGTCAGCAGGTGAAAGAATTAACTTAGCAGCCTTGAGCAGCTCCGGGCAGCTCCAGGCAGCTCCAGGCAGACAGGACGGCTTGGCTGGGTTTTGGGTAGACATCAGAGGCGTCCTCTTTCTATTCTAAAAGTGTGAGCTCTTCCTTATGTATATACAGTACAGTAAGTCCTCGTTTAACATCGTTGATAGTATTTAATGAAATATAAAGAAACTAATTTTACCATAGGCTAATTGATATAAATAGGAGTTAAGTTCCTATGGTATCTCATCAATGTTCTAACAAAATTTAAGTTGAACAAAATGACATTATTCGAGGACCTGCTATATGTTCACAGTGTGTGCGTTTAAAAATCATTCTTAAAGGAATTTCTGAAAACCTGCCTTAGTGGCCTTCGTGTTATAGCTTGAGAAGGACTTGTGAATACATGTCAGTGACTCAACAAATATTTAATAAGGGAAGATATGATTAAAATTTATAATATATGTAACTAAAAACTTTTCCTTGTAGCATTGATCTTAAAATGTTGATATACAGATGCAAGAAATGATTGATTACAAAAGACATTTTTATTTGTATATCCGTAGGTAACATTTCTGGAGTCACCAAAAGGGTATTATTTTAAGCTGGCTTTGGGTTTTTCCAATAAATTATAAGAATGTGATTCCTAATCTAAAAGCAGAAATTTTACATGTCACTGATAACAGTTAAAGAAAAAATGTTAAATATGCACAGTTTATCACCATATATTTAAATTGTACTAAGATGTATTTCAGAAAACGTTTCATGTATTGTTAACTTATTTCTTCATCAAAATAATTCTTAACACTGGTCAGATATCATCCTAATCTTGCCATTTTTAAGAAGTTTAAGAAAGGCTTTTATAATATAAATATTTAGATGGGATCTCTCATTTTTCTTTGATACTACTGATCTCCAGCAAGTAAATTATATAGCTCAAAACAGTAGAAATGTCCATAAGTTATATTACAATATGCCCTGCCTTCTCGCATGCACTAATAAGATTTTGCCAATCAAAAAATCATTGCATCTGTGACTTTCAAACAGAAAAAAATATTTTTGTTGATTTGTAAAGAGAGTTTAGATGTCATGTTTGAAGAAAAATAGAATATAGTGAAATTTTATATATTTATGAACTATTTGAAAGGCATATTTTAATTATTAAATGGGGCTATTCATAAAATAAATTATATATATAGATGGCATAACTTAAAATAGTAGTTTTATAAGTCAGGGTCAGCATTCCATGTAAATATTTGACCTTTATTCGTACACAGATAGACCTGCTAGTGTGTTATATGTGCACTGCCCATTTGGTAGCATTATCCACTGGATTTCCTTCAGACATGTCAGATTTCAGATTAGAAAGAGAGACAAAAAGTACTGTAATGACTTTGACACTCCCCAAAATATTTAGATAATCAGACTAAATATCACTTAACATAATCCAAATAATGATTCTACGTTTATTAACTAAATAGTAAGCAGTGTACAGTTATTTTAAAACAGGGGGAGGGATTGCCAATACTGATACTAAAGCCAGACTTAAAATTGTGTGGCTGGTCTAAGAAAACACAAGTCTTACTTAGATGGTTTGACTATTGACAAAAATATCCTATAAATCAAGATTTCCTATATAAAGAGTAATGGGAAATATATAATAATTTAGGCAATCATATGAATAATTCGTCAATCCAAATTCTTTTTCTGAAATATCTACATGTGTTTTTTGTTGCTGCTGTTGTTTTCTTTTGCAGATAACTGTCTCAGTTCTTTACTGTGGGTGTAGAGAGAGTGTAAGGTGGTAGAGACTGAGTCCTTTTTTCTGGTGATTGGAGATGTTACAAAAATATAACTATCCAGACCTTTCTCCCTTTTTAGACTAGAGCTGAACAATATTTTGAAAATAATGAAAAGGGGGGTACTTTGAGAAATCATTTGTCAAGTAGTATACATGGTCTGGCAGGTGACGTTTACATGTTCATTTTGATGCTTACAAAGGATCTGGCTACAATTTAATAAGGCAGTGCCAGCTCCAAGGGCTGGTTGGTGACTATAGCAAAAGGCCCAAGATTCTGTATGTCTGCATCCCTAACCTCCTTCAGCAAGGAAATGAGCACTGGGAACCTCACTGTACTAGTTCCTTGAGTAGCCTGGTCCCAAGGCAGAGTGTCAGCCATGATTTGAGAGAAAAGGAATGTTTAGTTTTTTTAAGTTCATTTATTTAAAATCCAAGGTCAAGAAGAAAATTCTATATTCCCATGATTAACAAATGAGAGTTGGTTAAAAATAAAGAGGTGGAATTGAAATATAATTTTTTACCATTGTTTTGCCTACCAATATAGATGTTCTTGATTCTTTAAGGCTGGCATTCCTGGTATTGTGTAATGGTTGAATGTATCTAAGTGATAATAATTTAAAATTGATGAACATGGAAACTTCTCACATTTACAAAACTATGTTGTTAAAAGCTTCCTGAAGATAAAGATTTTTACTATTTATTTTCCTTTTGACTCATAAAGATTTATAAGTAAAGGTAATGGAAAACCTTTGATCTTAATAAAGCATCTTCAAATTATGTGTGTACTTTCTTGAAAATTGTTTTTTCACTTGGAGATTGCACTGTTTCCCACGGTAGAACAAATTCTGTTTTTTACTGATACCAAGTAATTTATTTGAACTTGCTATGTCTAAAATTTCATATTTGTTTCAAACATTTGTTGGGTTCACCAAGGTTGTTGGGAGATGGAATTCACTAGTCTTGCTCCTATCCATACAGACAGCTGTTTAAAGATGTGGAGAAATGCAACAGGATGCTCTTATCTGTCTATCCACGATGGCAACACCCCTCCCCCTCTCCTCCTTATAGGCAAAAAGCTAAACTTATTCTGCTGTGCATATGAATGCTTATGCAGTGTAGCAGTAAAGAGCAGAATTGTTGAGTTTTTACCTATTAACTAGCTTTGCAACCTTGAGAAAGTCATTTAATCTCTCTGGTCCTCATTTTCCTATTAGAAAAATGGAGATAATAATAGTGTTTACCTCATGGGATTGTTGTGGGTGGGCATGAAATGAAAGAACTGATCCATGTTAAGTACTGGAACCAAACCTGGGACTAACGTATTCACTAACTGTGAGCTCCTATTTTATAATGATCATTCTCACATCACACAATTTAAAAATAGCTATATCAATATTCCAATTACCCTACATAAATAGTTCCCCTATTAGCAACGTCACTAGAAGTTACCTAATAAATAATTTCTATTATAAGCTTTATTATTTAAAAAAAAAAATTACATTACTTCCAAGTGTTGCATCAGGAAATCATTAGGTAATCCTCAATACGAAAGTGATCCAATTTTTATTTTTTGCCTCTGTATGTAGTATAATTGATATCAATTTGAAAGAAATGTCTCTAATTGTATTGATGTTCTTTTGTCTGCTACCATCCTTTCCAAATGCTTATTCACAGTTACTTAACCTGCAGTGATAGAAATATATTTATAACATTTGTCGTATACATATACATCTACCCAGGCCTAATCACTGCCAGAACAAATTGTACTTATTAATCATCACACATCTGTACAATTTCCTTACACTATCTCATTTAATTCTCACAACCACCTTATGGAAGATAATGTCTTCATATTTTACAGTTGAGAAAACAGAGGGGCGGGGCTTAAGTACCTTGCCCAAGGTGACAGAGGTGACATGTAGTGGAATCAGGGTTTGATTCAGGGTCTGGCTTCCTCCAACTCTATGCTGTTTTTACTGCATTATGCATCCTGGTGTTGCTCTAACTTGAGTCAAAGCTGGAAGCAGTCGAGATTTGGTATCAGGGGAGTGAGTGACTGTTCATCTTTTAATATATAAATAGATTAGATAGATAGATGATAGATAGATAGATGATGATAGATAGATGATAGATGATAGATAGATGATAGATAGATAGATAGATGATAGATAGATAGATATAGATAGATAGATAGATAGATAGATAGATAGATAGAT